CCCTAAGCTTGGAGAGGTTCCGTATCAATATACAAGGCACGTATCATCCAGCCTGGCTAAGGGGTTGATCATCCAAGGCCACCTCCCACCCACTGAATCACGAAAGGGGTGTACAAATCCAGAGCATGCTACACGTTGTTTTTTGTCTGTGTATCATAATTGTCACTGGGTTTGTAAGTATTGCTTCATATATTATTTATCAGCTTAGCAATAGTTAGTTGTATTGTATTAACCATATTGTATAATGGCACCACACCTCGGTCTAAATAAGAAGTAGGAGTAGAATTGAGGGGTTGTTAAGTGAATAGGCAGACTAATAACTAATTCTATCGACTGTTCCAAGATAACCATAGAGGGATTGGCTGTAGGAAGAGTTTTTATTATTGTTGTATTGACTTTCTTTAATGTTTTCTTTATTTGCATGCTACATTGTCTTAAACAAATCAGAGATAATGATTTAATATCAACAGATTGTAGTCAATAAAGTTTGGAATTGGTTAAGTACATTTAAGTTCAGGCTTTCCTCCTTCGCGGCCCCAGTCCCTTGCCACAAATGCCACCCCTAGACAATCTTTCGAGCCTCCTGGTTCGTCAAGTTTAATGTTTTAGTCACCAAGTGCGGGCCAGCACTCTACCTATCCATCACAGTGTTAAACAACACTTCTTGTGCATTAAAGATCTAAATGCAACAGAAATTGGCCTGAAAGGACGCATCTTTGAGATGAACGTTCAAAACAATTGAGATCTGCATGTGAGACAAAAGTTTTAATCTATAGGTACTAGGGACATAAGCGAGTAATCAACTACTCAACTATCCGACAATCCTAAACTTATTGGATAGTCGAGAGGAATACCTGATTACTCGCTCCTCTGCCCCCTTGCTGCATCTATCAGAGATAGTGGTGGGAGGGAAGGAGAGACTACTGCGAAGCAGCGTCTGCCCGCAGTGGGCATGGTTTGGAATAAAGAATTCACTGCATAATACAGAAAGCTCAGAGAAAAACCACATAGAATAAAATTTCAGGCAGATAATATTTTTTGAAAAAATGACTACTTACCTTTCATAACTCTTATTTTCTTGAGATGTTTTGCTCATGTCCAAAGGTGGCGCCTATGTCTGCAAATCCATCAATTCCGCTAACTGTTGTGGTGCAGTTATGGTTGTGGCAGTGGCAGCTGGGTTGACGGTACCACGGTCCAGTGCTACTGAAGGTTGTGGTGCCAAGAGATATATTCTCGGTGCTGCTGACTTGGCCTTTTGTTTGTCCGGTGCCATAATGGGTACTCAGCGTCTCAAAGCAGACACATTAAGGCCTGTAGTTTCAGTACGGGGATTCTGCAAACTCTGTTTCGTGGTACCACACTGGGTGCCAGAGACGCCTGGCACGACATACATGCTGAGATGCAGCGCAGCCTCAACTCTCAGTGCTGACTTCACAGTAATGCGCTGCTTAAGGACTATGATTTATGAGGTAGAAAGAAAGCACACTTCTTTGGGGATGTTTTCCCTTTATCAGATTTCTATTTTTCAGGCAGTTGGGTGCCCGGGTTAGAGGCAGAGTGCTGTGCTTTTTCAAGTATTACCATTTTAAGGGGGAGTTCTCTAAGGTTCCCTGTGAGCTGTGTGTCCACATGGGCGTGCAGTGGTTCAGACTTCCCCACGCAGGCAGGGAGCTCAGCTGATTGGCTAGGGAAGTGGGGGAGGGGCACTTGCCCTCTCAAAGGAGCAGAAGCAGCAGCTACTGCTGCTGCTATAAATGGAGAAGCCGGCTCCAGCCTCTACTCCAGGACTGGGCAAAAGATGCTCTGTGGGCCAGATCTGGTTGCAAGAGCCTCAGTCAGCTCTCTGCCTGCCCTGCCCCTGTTCAGCACTCAGGAAAGCCAGATGCAGGGCTATGTGTGTGTTTCTGAACATTGAGAGCCTGGAAAGAGGGGAGACAGGCGTCTCATGCTGCCTTCACCACCAGTAGCTCCCATTCGCTGGTTTCCACCAATAGCGGTTGCATGTTTTCAGGATAGGCAGCATGTGAAGTGCCCCTCCTCTCTCCTTCCCTGAGCTCCCAGAGTTCAGTTCAGAACAATAAACATGGCTTATGCAGCTCTCCTGAGCACATACAGGGGTTGGAAAGCAGGGCCCCTGGCTAAGAAAACTGCTGGGCTGCTGGCTGGGAGCCAGGTAAGGTCTCCCAACCAGAGCCTGTCTCTGGCGCCCCAGCCTCTCTCTCCCTACCCCATGTAACTCAAACCTTCTGTACTCCTGCCAAAGCCCCTATACACCTTCCATACACTGCATCCCCCTCCTACAACCTGCTCAGGTCACAACCCCCTCTCAGACCTTGCACCCCAATCTGCTGCCCCCAGCACAACTCAAATCCCCGCACCCTGTCTTGCACTACTCCCCTGGTCACAACCACCTCCTAGGCCCAGCACATTCTCCTCCTACATCCCTCCCCGGGACCAGAATTCTCTCCTGCATCCATACTCAACCCAGACCCTGCACCCCATTCCCCTGTCCCAGGTCACAACCCAAATTTCTGCACCCCTACCCCAGGTCATACTCCCCTCCCAAACCCTGCACCTCCACCTCAACCCAGTCCTTTGCCCCAGGTCACAATCCCCTTTTCACCCAAACTCCCTCACAGGTCTCTCACCCCAATCCCTTACCCTACAACCACTTCTGCAACCAACCTCCATACCAGACCCCCACACCTCCTCCATTAATATAATGGTAGAGTGTGGCCCTCAATCACTTACAAAATTTTTGGAGTTGCCCCCCCATGAAAAATTATTGCCCTTACCTGGTTTAACTGGTTAACTAATTAAAGGGGGTTGCGTGGTCTGGAGTGCCTCATTCCATGACAGGACCCATGAGCTTGCGTGGGCTGGAGTGCCTCATTCCATGACAGGACCCATGAGGCTGGAGTGGGCCCCTGCCTGTGGTAGGCAGGTAGCTGTTCCAACCCCCAACGGGTAACCCTTAACTGGATGATGCTTAGCAGTTAACCTTTCACATTCCTAAATATAAATGTCATCAGAGTTCTGGTATTTCATAACTTTGGATCTTCATTAAATCAAATGGCATATTACCACTTAACAGCCACGGCCAGATTCAAATAACTTGTCTCCTACCAGCAATACCATGTTGATTAATAACACACTGACAGCTGTCAGTCTTTATTGGTCAAATTTTAGAATTAGCTTCATTTAGATCTGGATGCTGCTGATCAATCCCTGACAAGAGGTCCCATTTCTCTCTGGCCTTCTGTCATCTCACAAGCTCAACATCGAGTTTACAAAAATAAAACACAAAACCTTCCAGAAGTGATGCATTGACTGCAGATGCAAGCAGAGCAACTAGGATGTGTTCAGCACTGGCCTAGGCTCACAGGAAGTCAGAAACATTAACTAAACACTTAGGAAACACACTGTGTGGTCGATAACCCTGCAGTAATAAACACTTGGAATTTAATAAATCCTTCGAAGATTTTGGAACGGATTAGAATGCTGCGTGACTTTTCAGTGACTAGACAGATGGAGAGTCGTTCCGTTTGCCAGCATCTGACGAACTGGTTTTACCCGCAAAAGCTTGTGCCCAAATAAATCAGTTAGTATCTAATGAGCCACAGGGCTCCTGGTTATTTTGACCTTCCCTTTTGTGATGAATGATCCTCTCCCCTCCCCCGTGCATTGTGTTTCAATGGGACATTTTAACCCGCTGGACACAGGCCACGTGTCTTGCACAATGAAACACTCCCCCCTTGAGCCCACTAGGACAAGGGCGGGGGAGTTTTTGGGGGTCGGGGGCCGCTGACCCACAGAAAAGTCAGTCGGGGGGTTATTTTGACCTTCCCTTTTGTGATGAATGATCCTCTCCCCTCCCCCGTGCATTGTGTTTCAATGGGACATTTTAACCCGCTGGACACAGGCCACGTGTCTTGCACAATGAAACACTCCCCCCTTGAGCCCACTAGGACAAGGGCGGGGGAGTTTTTGGGGGTCGGGGGCCGCTGACCCACAGAAAAGTCAGTCGGGGGCTGCACACAAGTAAGATGTTAAAAAAACAAACCCAAATCCTCACTGATGTGGCCTCCGACTGGGGAGGAA